TTTTTTTTTTTTTTTTTTTGAGACAGAGTCTTGCTCTGTCAGCCCAGGTAGAGTGCAGTGGCCTGATCATAGCTCACTGCAACCTCAAACTCCTGGGCTCAAGCGATCCTCCTGCCTCAGCCTCCCGAGTAGCTGGGACTACAGGCATGCACCACCATGCCCGGCTAATTTTTTCTATATATATTAGTTGACCAATTAATTTCTTTCTATTTATAGTAGAGACGGGGTCTCGCTCTTGCTCAGGCTGGTTTCCAACTCCTGACCTCAAGCCATCCGCCTCGGCCTCCCAGAGAGCTAGGATTACAGGCGTGAGCCACCGCGCCCGGCCTAGTATTGCTTTTTAAGAGAGCTCTTATCTTTTAGAGATACTTACTGAAATACCAATAGATGAAATTTAATAATATCTAGGATTTGCATCAAAATAATATAGTGGGGGAGTAGGGGACAGAAGATAGAAGAGGACCATGAGTTTTTAGTTGCTGAAGGTGTATAATGGGTAGATGAAGGTTCATGGTACTCTTCTTCTGTATTTGCTTGACATTGGCCATCATAATAATTTTTAAAAAACACACTTTAAAAAAATAATTAATCATCTGTGTATGTATATGTCTTTCTTCCTTGGGGGGTTCTAAGTGAACACTGACATTTATAAATGAAAAGTCATCAATTCTGGAAGGCTGAGGGGGTGAGGGATGGGAAATAACTTAATGGGTACAATCTACATCATTCGGATGACGGCGACACTAGAAGTCCAGACTCCGCCAATAGCCAGTATGTCCATGTAACGAAACTGCACTTGAACGGTTTTAAGACATGCATATGAAAATAAAAAGTAAAAAAGTCATCGACTCTGAAAGTGTCATTATGGTTCTGAGTGGAAGGTAAAGCAGTGCTTTTACAGAAACCACAGCTGGGTCCACGCTACCGGCGTCCTCTACGGGGCTGGAGCCATCCCGTTCTTCCTGGCATTCACCTATCAGACTGCACCGCCGGACACAGGCCACAGATGCCCCGATATCTGTCTTCCTTTCTTCCTCAGCAATAAAACTTCTAGTTTTTAGTTGTCACAAGGCCACACGGCCTCCTTTGTGTACCCTCCTGAGGGTAGCCGTGTGGACTACATTCTGACTGATGGTCTATAATGGGAAGTGGTCTATATGACTTCCTGGAAGTGTCTTTAAAGAGGCATGTCTCCTTTTCAGATCTGCACCCACTTTTCCTGCTTGCTGGAGTATAGCCTGGTAGCTGGAGCTGGGGCAGCCATGTTGGGTCATGAGGCAGAAGCAACGGTGAAACAACAGTGGAACAGTAAGATAGGAAGAGCCCGGTTCCTAACATGACAGAGTGACACACAGCCCTAGATTAACTACCTTCAGATTAATTTTTCATGAAGGTGATATAAACTCCTGACTTTTTGGTTATTTACAACGAATTCTAATCCTACTTAATACAGTTGCTAAGACTTTTACCAATTCGCCAATATTTCCTGAGTGCTTACTCTGAAGTTACGTCATGCTAATTACTGTGGGAGAAACGAGATGAAGTTCAGAGAATCAGCACATAAAGAACTTTTTATTTTCATTGAGAGAAAGATATGCAAAATACAAGATGATTGATTGTAATTAGGTAATAATACTCTCCACCACATATTGAATACTTATGATTATAATTACTAATACTAGCTTCCATGTATTGAGTACTTATTATGTGCCCCTTATTATTATTATTTTACTTAAAAAATTTTTTTTAAAGGCTGGTCAGGTGGAGCAGTGGGAGTGGAGAAGGAACAAAGGAATCTGTAACTGGTTGTGATCAATTAGTTGTAAACACCACTGCACTCGGACCAACCTCTTTTTTTTTTTTTTTTTTTTTGAGACAGAGTCTCATTCTGTTGCCCGGGCTAGAGTGCCGTGGTGTCAGCCTAGCTCACAGCAACCTCAGACTCCTGGGCTCAAGCAATCCTCCTGCCTCAGCCTCCTGAGTAGCTGGGACTACAGGCATGTGCCACTATGCCTGGCTCATTTTTTCTATATATATTTTTAGTTGGCCAATTAATTTCTTTCTATTTATAGTAGAGACGGGGTCTCGCTCTTGCTCACACTGGTTTTGAACTCCTGACCTTGAGCGATCCTCCCACCTCAGTATCCCAGAGTGCTAGGATTATAGGTGTGAGCCACCGAGCCCCGCCCTAAGCACTTTTTTTTAAAAGAGATGGGGTCTTGCTCTATAGCTGAGGGTAGAGTACAGCAATGTCATTCATCATAGCTCATTGCAGCCACTGAATGCCTGAGCTCAAGCAATCCTCCCACCTCAGCCTCCCCAGTAGCTAGGACTACAGGTGTGCACCTCCACACCCAGCTAATTATTTTTTGTAAGAAATGAGATCTCGCTTTGTTGCCGAGGACTGGTCTCAAACTTCTGGCCTCAAACGATCCTCCTGCCTGGGCCTCCCAATGTGCTGGGGTTACAGGTGTGAGCCATTGCACCTGGCCCTGTTTTAAGCACTTTATACATATTAACTGTTTAATCATCACAGTAAGATTAGGAATTAGGGATTGATATCATTGCCATTTACAAGTGAGAAAATAGAAGCACAGAGATGTTAAGTAACTTGTCACACAGCTTGTAAACTATGGATACAGGACAGAAAAGTAATATTGATTAGGAGGTTTCAAAGAGGAGAAAAGGCTAGTGTCAACTGGCAGATCTTTGTGAAGAAGACAAGATGTTGATTCAGTCAACAAATATCTATTGAGTGCTCACTGTGGGGCAGGCACTATTCAGGCTGAGAATGGAACAAGCAGAGGGCCTAAATTCTAGTGGATGTTAAGAATGACTGGCTGGGCTTGGTGGCTCACGCCTGTAATCCTAGCACTCTGGGAGGCGGAGGCGAGCAGATTGCTTGAGGTCAGGAGTTCGAAACCAGCCTGAGCAAGAGCGAGACCCGTCTCTACTGTAAATAGAAAGAAATTAATTGGCCAACTAATATATACAGAAAAAATTAGCTGGGCATGGTGGCGCATGCCTGTAGTCCCAGCTACTCGGGAGACTGAGGCAGAAGGATCGCTTGAGCCCAGGACTTTG